AATGCAGAGAAATATAAAATGTGAAAGTTTCTAGATATGGAAGCAGCAAAAGTAAACAGAATGGGACAAGGGGGGAGAGAGTACCTGAGGACCTTGCTCAACACCTTTCTTGAAGGGATCGCCAACTACACGTCTCATTGCACGTGCCTTAGCCTTCTCTATGAATTCATCATATACTCGCTCATGTACATAGGTACGAGAACCAGCACAGCAACATTGGCCCTACAGACAGAATTAACTTCAGTGATGCCTCAGTTATATATGAGTACTTAATTTAGAAGAATCTGCCAGACCTGATTAAAGAAGAGTGCAAAATGTGCTAGCTCAACAGCATGATCAATGTCAGCATCCTCACATATAATGAAAGGTGATTTCCCTCCTAGTTCGAGGGTAACTGGTTTCAGATTGCTTTTGGCAGCCAGTTCAAGTACCGTTTTTCCAGTTTCCGTTGATCCAGTGAATGCAAGCTGCAAGAATGAAATGGAAAATTTTAATGGGGGTCAAAATGCCAATCAAATATGCATTACATGTTATACAATAAAATTCAGGTCAGAGCTCCGTCATTCTGCAGTTCATCGATAGACGAAGCTCTCTTTATCATCTCGTGCTAGATTAGCACAAATTCCCCAGAAAGAGGTTCATCTTCCTTATTTACTTGACCATTGGCATTTGCGAAACCAGCCTTAACGTCATGGGAAAGACGACAAGATGGTTGCTGCTTCTGTCTGAATTCGATATCACGTATGTCACCAAAATGGAAGTATTAAGTCACCTTTAGGCTTTCTTATCCAGGAAATTACATAGTGCAGAAACAGAATCCTAACAATGAAACAGAATCCCAGTTATTGTCAACCCCCACCTCAACTAGTTAATCCAGAATAAACCGTGTAAAGCATTTAGCCCTCTTGGCCCATAAGGATCCGACCATTACCCTAAGCATAAAGTTCCAACGATATAATCCACCGATCGCTCTTTCTTGCATAAGTGTGGCGGATTGTTAAGCCTCCCAATAAAGGTCACAAGTGAGAGACCTCGAAAACTCATCTTATAATCATATTACTGTAAATGTTATATTCACCCTGACTCGACTATTATATTATTGTAAGTTGTAATTAGCTTACCACACCGTCACTGCATGGTGGCTTCATGATTGACAAGCACTAGCTGCTCTAACAGTGAAAACAGAAACTATGCTACTGATGCACCAAAGTGGAAATGTGTCATTAGGTAAAATTCATCCTCCAAATCATTCATATATAAATATTGTAATCACAAGTTCAAAAAACGGCACTTAATTCATAACAGAGAAGAGTTTTTATTTTTGAGAAGAAAACAAAGAAGAGAAGAGTTTCTCATAGACCTTGTCCACATCCATATGACTAGCAAGTGCTGCACCAGCAGTTGGTCCAAAACCAGAAACAATATTTAGAACACCTGGAGGAAGACCAGCCTGTTAAAAGTCAAAAACAATATGTCAGATACATGGAGTGAAGGGTCATTAATCTTGCAAACAGAACAGGACATCTTTTCAAGTTATCTTTCCAGTTAAAACATCCTGAATGGATGCAGGATCGTCTAAAATGGGAGCAATTTTTTTCTTATGCAATTGCTGAGAAATTTATGCAATGTAGCAACTTATGCCTCAGCACCAAAGTAGCGTACATGAACCAACCTCGTGGAACAAGTTTGCAACATAAAGAGCAGTCAGTGGAGTTTGCTCTGCAGTCTTCAGGACAATAGTGTTACCACATGCTAAGGCAGGCCCAACTTTCCAGGCAAACATAAGAAGAGGAAAGTTCCACGGAATTATTTGACCAGCAACACCAATTGGTTCATGTAAAGTTTGCACATGGTGTGGCCCATCAGCTGGAATGGTTAGACCATGGATTTTATCTGCCCAACCTATGTTTTCCCAAGAAAGCAAAGTTTCAAAAGATTTGTATATACACGAGAAAGCTTGAAAGTATGAATCAACTAGAAAAGTTTAATGAGCATATATTCCTTGTCTGAAAAGTGTCATTACCAGCATAATACCGAAATAGCCGCACAAATGAAGGTACTTCAGCTTGGGCAGCCTGCAAATATGGCTTGCCATTATCCCATGTTTCTAGAGCTGCAAGCTCATCATTGTGTTTCTCCACCAAATCGGCAAACTTTAACATTATCTTTGACCTTTCCTGAAGAACAACCCCCACAAAGATTAAGAGATTTTACATAACTAGCAAAAGAAAAAAAAAACTTCTAGAAACTGACAGTGCACAAATTGGAGTAGCATCAAAGCAGAAGACATAGTAAAGATAAAGATATCAAGCTTACATAAGCACTCATTTTGGGCCAAGGTCCCTCATCAAATGCCTTGCGAGCAGCAGCCACAGCGCGATTAATATCTTCAGCATCACCTTCAGCAACATTTGCAATGACTTCCTCAGTTCTTGGATCCAAAGTTGGGAATGTTTTTCCTACAAAAAGACATATATCCAATTTTTATTTCCAGCAGCATAGCAACTAATAAAAAAAGAAGAAGAATTAACCCAAATAGCCGCCTACCTAACCGCTTAAATTAAAAATAGCCAGTGGAGGTATAATATATGCATAATTTATATTTTATATATGTAATAATTGTGTATAATCAATATATAAACTATATATATGGCTAGAAAAAGTAAATAATGAATATGGCCAGCTATTTGTGTAAAGATTGGAAATGGTACGGAATAATTACCAGATGCAGAATCAACGAATTGGCCATTGATTAGAAGCTTAGTGAAATTAACTTGAACAGGTGGAGTGGTTAATTCTTCAACTGCAGCAGCAGTACTAAACCTGTTGATGTGCCTTGCAACACCATGACTCCTTCCTGCTAATTTCAGTTAATTAAAAACCATAAACTTTTGTACTGACTAGCATAAATCAAATATGTGTACAACTAATTATTGCAGTATATTCCAATTGGAAAAGTTTTATTATGCATCAATTTCACAACATATATATAGAAACAATCATGTAAATTGGTCCACTTTTTGCTTTAACAGATACAGGGTGTGCCCACAAGCTTCTTCTGCATTACATTTCATGGTAGATTGAAAAATTAGGATAAAACATTTAAAATTTCCTGTCCCCTACAAGTAGAAGCCAAGACATAAAAAAACAACCCGAGACAGGAAAAACAGAAGAATTTAAACAGAAGTAGTAGTTCATTAAATACCATGGATACCCTTTTAGGCTTTAATCTATTCAAGATCCCAGCAATATCAAAGCATGTAGCATTAATTGGTCCGACACACAAACAAGTACAATTCTTTCCCTATTAGAGTTTTAATAAGGTAATCGGACAACTTGACCATCATCATTAAATATATAAAACTAAAAGAAGAAGAAAAAGAAAAGTTTGAAAATAATACAGATTAACAATGAGGTAAAAAAAAAAAAGAAGGAAAAAAGCTAGCAACCTAGAGGAGCAGAAGCAGAAGGAAAATGGAGAGAACGAGAGAGCAGAGAAGAAAGTCTTCGAGCAGCCATAGCCTTGAACTTGGTGTCTTAATTTGCTTATGTTAATGGGGAGTGAGAAGATAGGGAGATGAAGATGATGAGTGAGTAAGTAGTAGGTGCTAAGTGCCAAATGGCCTTTTGTCTAGTTAGGCCTCATGCTTTTTCTTTTCTTTTCTACCTTGTTTCTCTCTCTTTCAATATTATCGAACCAATAATTCTATTATTAATTAAAGTGCACTTCTTTTTTGGTTAGTTAAACATTTTGTTTGATGGTCTCACTATTCAACAAAAATTAACCCATTTTCTTTTCAGTTATCGTCCTTATGCTTTGGTTATTTATCTACATCTACATCTGCAATATAAGTTAAATTACGAAATTAACCTTGTTCAATTAATTTTCTATTTATTTTTAAAAACTTACATATACACGCTTTTCTGAACAGTCCCCTCTTTCAAAATTCTCAAGCGTTGCACCGTTTAAATTTCTTTCCCATGATAATGTTCCCTCACTCTTCACTTATTTGAAGGGATGTACCCTTCATAAGTTAGTAATGTTCTGAATAGGCTTCCTTTTCTAAATTTCGAGACCAAGAGAAGCACGAAAACAAAACCAAACGACTCTTCTGCAAACTATCAAATATAGGCAAGAACGATGTTCAGACTTCCGTATCCATGCAGGTGTTGTTGGAACCATGAACCCTAATCTTGATTTGAGATCAGACGAGAAGAAGGGGAAAGAGCTCAATGAGTTTAATTCAGACCACATAGGTCTTAAGCAAGTTTTTGGTCGATCCGGTCCAGCGGCCCAATTTCTCATAACAAATGGACCATCTGATTTTAAGACAGGAATAAAGCCCAACACAAATAATTCTGGGCCCAATCAATATGACAATAGCAGTCCATCTAGAAACCTTCTAGTAAATTTTATACCAAAAACGTGTAAATAAAGTAGTGTATTTATTTTCTTTACTTTTTCATTATCCACAAGTTTGTTAGGCAAGAGTCAATCAAGTAGGATACATCTGTAGGTAGTTATAGAATAAGAATTTTACATTTTTGCCCAAAGGGCTTGTATAAATATATACTGTACAGAATATTATTTTGGTAAAAAAAAAAGAAGATAGAAAATTTCCTAATCTCTGACATGGTATCAGAGCCCACTTTTTCAGCCTAGGAATATTCTCTTTCGTTTTCATCAGCCTTCTCTTTCATCAGCTTTTTCATTCTTTAGTATTCTTCCTCCATGGCACCTTCAGCTGAAGAAACAACCCCAACTGTTGCTGCTCCAAAAAATGCAATCAGTGATGCTTCGCATCCTTTTTACCTTCATCCATCAGATTCTCCAGGGATGGTCTTGGTGAATTCCATTTTTGATGGAAAAAGTTATGGAGGCTGGCGTGGCCATTGTTATTGCTTTATCAGCTAAAAACAAGATTGGTTTCATTGATTGAAGCATCAAAGAACCAGATCTGAACTCAGACACTCACAAAGCTTGGAATAGATGTAACGATATGGTTATATCTTGGTTGTTGAACTCCCTCTCAAAGGACATAGCAGACACTATGCTCTACTCCAAGACTGCAAAGGACATCTGGACAGAATTGGAGGCCAGGTTTGGCCAATGCAATGGAGCTCAGTTGTATCAATTGCAGAAAGAACTATCAGAACTTGTTCAAGGTAACTCTGATGTTGCAGGTTATTATACTAAGCTTAAGAAGATATGGGATGAACAAGATACTCTTAATACCCGTGTTGTTTGTTCTTGTGATTGTTCTTGTGGAGGCAAGGAGAAGACTCTTAAGTCTCTTCAGGATGGTAGATTGATTCAGTTTCTGATGGGTCTCAATGACACCTATGGTGGTGTAAAGAGCAGCATACTTATGATGTCTCCACTTCCTAATGTGAACCAAGCTTACTCTCTGCTCATTCAAGATGAGAAACAGAGAGAAATTCATGTTGGTGTTCATCCTGCTGAATCAGCTTTTCTGGCATCTAAGCAATAGTTTAACAATCAGAAATTTGGTGATGGAAAGTAAAAAGGAAACTTTGCTGTGAAGAAATCTAACTTGTCTTGTAATTACTGCAAGAAACCAGGGCATACACTGGATAAGTGTTATAGGATTGTTGGATTTCCCCCGGATTTTAAGTTCACTAAGCCTAGAAAGTTCCAAGGGAATGCTCACAGCAATGCAACAATTTCAGAAGACTTTTCTATTAATACAACCAATGGAGCAGAAGGCACTTCTTCAGGAAAGGGACTGACACAGGAGCAACACAGTCAGTTGTTTCAGCTGCTTCAACAAGTGAAAATTAGTCCACAGAGTGAGCAAAATTCTGAAGCTATTGTTAATGCTAACTGTGCAGGCATAGATTTGCCTAACCTAAAACACATCATTTGTTTCTCACATGTTTATCCTAACACATGGATTATAGACTCAGGTGCTTCAGAGCATATGACCTCTGATATTTCTATTTTATTCAACATCATATCTTTGTCTATACCTCTTTACATCAACTTGCCTAATTCACATAAAATTAAAGTCGGTAAAAAAGGGAGTGTGCATATTCTGCCAGGTTTAACCATTCATAATGTATTGTATGTCCCTGTTTTCAAGTTTAATCTACTTTCAGTTCATAAGCTCACCAAGCATCTTAGATGTAACTTGTTGTTCACCTATATTGGAACTATCTTGCAGGGCCCTTCAATGAAGAGGCCAGTGGTAGTTGGTGAAGTCATGGAAGGTCTCTACATCCTCAATCCAAAGTTCATCTCCACTAGTTTGCAGTTTCAGCATCAGTCTAGTTTTCAGCCTACTATTCAGTCTATTTCAGTTTGTAATAATCCTAGTAAAACCAATGTTTCAGATTTTGTTTCCTGTTTAGTCAATTTATCCAAAGATGTAAGCCTATGGCACAAACGATTAGGGCATATGCCACTTTCTAGTATGGGAAATCTATCTATGTTTCAGCATCAATCTCTATCCAAATTAAATTCTCCGTGTGATGTTTGTTCAAAGGCAAGGCAATCTAAGCTTCCTTTTCATCCTAGCAGTATTTCTTCTACTTCTATATTTGAGCTTATTCATATTGACACCTGGGCCCCCTACAAAGCCCAAACTCATGATGGTTTCAAGTATTTTTTCACTATTGTTGATGATTTTAGCAGAGGAACATGGACATACCTCTTGAAAACTAAGAGTAATGCTTTTTCAGTCCTAAAATCTTTTTTTGCCATGGTGGAAAGGCAACTTAATACTCAGGTAAAGATTGTAAGATCTGATAATGCTATGGAGTTAGGTACCAGTTCCATTACCTCAGAATATTTTTCTTCTAAGGGAATTCTACACCAAACTTCATATGTTTCCACACCTCAACAGAATGGTGTGGTAGAGCGCGATCACAAACACCTATTGGAAACTAGTAGGGCCTTACTGTTTCAGTCTAATGTTCCTATTATGTATTGGGGAGAGTGTGTTTTGACAGCCACTTTTCTAATTAATCGTTTTCCCTCAAAAGGTTTTAGGACTCAAATCTCCTTATGAGATCTTGTTTGGATCCAGTCCTTCTCTTAATCACATAAGGCCATTTGGATGTTTATGTTATGCTGCAACCCTATCCTCTCATCGAACTAAATTTGATCCTAGGGCTGTCAAGTGAATTTTTCTGGGATATCCCTTTGGGAAGAAGGGGTATAAGCTTTTAGATCTTTCTACCAAGAAATTTTTTGTTTCTAGAGATGTTATATTTTATGAAGATCATTTTCCTTTTTTAACAAATTCTTCTATTCCTGAAGTCTTTCCAGTTTTACCTTTAACAGTTGATCCAGACACTCTTTCCTCTGAATTTATCACTTCATCTCCTGAATCAGTGTCTTCAGCTCCTCAGTCACCATCTCCTGTTCTTTCTCATGGCTTGGATTCCAATCAATCTAGTTCTTCTCCTTCTCCTGCCAGATCTGAACCTCCTTCTCCTATCAGATCTTCTCCTCCCCTTTCAAGATATGTACCTCCTGCTCCTCAAGTATCTTCTCAACCTGCACTCAGACAATCTCTTAGAATACATAAAACACCCTCATATCTGGCAGATTATGTGTGTAACTCTATTTATTTGACTGATCTAACATCTACTTGTTTTGCAGCTAGTATTAAACCTAATGTTCTTCCCTTTTCAGCCCTTTCTTCAACCAATCAAAGTTTACTAAATTCTATTTCCCACATTTCAGAACCTACTACCTTTACACAGGCAATGTTACACCCTGGTTGGTAAGAAGCAATGGCTAATGAATTTGCTGTTTTAGAGGTTAATAAAACTTGGGAAGTTGTGGAACTAACTAAAGGAATGAAAGCTTTATCTAGTAAATGGGTCTACAAAGTGAACAAAGATCAGATGGTAGTGTGGAAAGGCTCAAAGCTCGATTAGTTATAAGAGGAGACACACAGAGAGAAGGGATATACTACAATGAGACTTTTTCTCCCATAGTTAAAATGACTACAATCAGATGCCTTATGGCAATTGCAGTTATGAAAGGGTGGCCTTTATTTCAATTGGATGTTAATAACGCTTTTCTTCATGGTGATTTGCAGGAAGAAGTTTATATGAAAATTCCTGCCGGTATGACTGTCCCGGGACCTAACCTTGTTTGCAGGTTAAAGAAATTACTCTATAGGCTGAAGCAAGCATCTAGGCAATGGTATGCTAGGCTTACTGCAGCCCTCAACTTTAAAGGATACACTCACTCGCTCAATGATTATTCACTATTCTTTAAAATCACAGATTCTGGTGTTTCAACAGTTGCAGTTTATGTCGATGACATTCTACTTACAGGTGATGACCCTACTGAATTACAGCTGCTAAAGACTTTTCTTGACTCAGAATTTAAGATTAAAGACCTTAGTAAGGCACATTTTTTTCTTGGTATGGAAATTATCAGAGAACAACAAGGGTTAATATTGAGTCAAAGAAAGTTTACCCTTGAATTTCTTGCTGAATTTGACTGTCTTAACTCTAAGACTGCTTCCTTTCCTTTGGACCCTTATTGCAAGATGAAGGCAGATTCCGGTAATCTACTGTCTGACCCCACGGTCTATAGACGTCTTATTGGAAAGCTAAATTTTTTGACACATACGCGGCCGGATATCTCTTTTGCCGTTCACCGACTCAGCTAGTTCATGCAAACCCCTCGTCAATCTCATTTTGATGCTGTTATGCACTGTCTCCGCTATCTCTTGGGTAATCCGGGTCTTGGCTTATTTTTAACTCCAATTCTTCTTTCAAGCTCCTCGCCTTTTGCGACTCAGATTGGGGATCTTGTCCAGACACTCGTCGTTCAGTCAGTGGGTATTTTATCAGTCTTGGTGGCTTGTCAGTTTCATGGAAATCCAAAAAGCAACCCCTCATCTCTCTCTCGTCGGCTGAAGCAGAATATCGCTCTATGAGTCGAGTAGTCTCCGAAATCACCTGGCTTGTTCGCCTTCTTCAAGATCTGTCTATGTGATGAAGAAACAAATTCAGTGTTCTGAGGCCTAAAAACCTTCTTTTTACCTCACCTTGATTTACGTGCGTGGTCCGGACCTATATCCGAGAAGCCTTCTATGTGAAAATATGAGAAATAGAAATTTCTAGAGTTAAAATTTGATTATGGTTGACTTTGGTCAATATTTTGAGAAAACGGACCCGGATCCGTGTTCCGGTGATCCCGGAAGGTCCGCAGTAAAATATGGAACTTGTGCGTATGCCCGGAAATAAATTCCGAGGTCCCAAGCCTTAGAAATCAATTTTTGAAAGAAATTATTTTACTGAATTATCTAAGAAATGAAGAAAAGAATTAATATTTGGAATCATTGTTATCGGGCCCGTATTTTAGTTCCGGAGCCCGGTACAAACTTGTTATAGTATTTGAAAGATAACTGTGAAATTTGGTGAAAAATGGAGTTTATTTGACGTGAGTTGGACTTCCGGTTGAAGAGTTATGAACTTTGAGAGTTCTTGATGAAAATGTTGAGTTTTGAGGTTTAATTCATGATTTTACATGTTGTTTTGATGATGTGATCACATGAGTAGGTCCATATGATGTCTTTGAGTTAGTATGCACACTTGGTTTGGAGTTCCGAGGGCTCGGGTGAGTTTCGGGTAGGTCCCGGGATGTCTTAGGCTTAAAACATGGATGTTGCAGGTTCAGAGAAGTGCAAATCTCCGAACCCGCCGTGCTGACCGCATTGGTTTTGGTGCTGTCCGCGGTGGGGGGGCTGTGCGGCCGCACTCGATTTTGTGCGGTCCGCACAGGTTCACTGGTCCGACTTCGGAAGCCTATATCTTTTGATATACAAGGAATTTTGAGATGATTCAAAAACAAAAATTGTAGCTCTTCGTGTCTAGTATCCAGAAAGGTAAAGAAATCACAATTTGAACATCTGTAGAGAAAGTTATGGCCAAAATACTGAAGCATGTCACTGCAGTCCACATGGAGAGTTGTGCGGCCGCACTAGATTTTGTGCGGTCCGCACAGGGGGTCTGAGAGGGGTATATTTCGACGGAAATTTCAGTTATTTTTCATTTTTCAAAACCCCAAAAACATAAGAGGCGATTTTTCAAACAACTTTTCTTCTCCAAAATATTGGTAAGTGATTTCTAACTCATTTTCTTTACTCCTTAACTTCTTTTTACAAGATTTCATCCTAGAATCTAGGGTTTTCATGGTGGAATTGGGAATTTTGGGAAAAACCTAAGAATATTGAAATTTGGGGAGTTAGACCTCAAATTGAGGTCGGATTCCAAAACCAATTATATATCCGGGGGGGTGAATGGGTAATCGGGTTTTGGTCCGAATTTTGGGTTTCGACCAAGCGGGCCCGGGGTCGATTTTTGACTTTTTGGGAAAAACTTTAGGAAACTTATTTCCATGCATTAGAATTGATTCATTTAGCACTTATTAATATTATTAAGTAACTTATGGCTAGATACGAGCGAGTTGGTGGTGGACTCAAGAGGTGAAGCTATAGTTGAGGCTTGAATTGTGTTCGTGGCATCGAGGTAAGTGTTTAGTCTAACCTTAGCTTGAGGGATTAGGAGTTGTGTCCTATTTGCTATGTGTTATTTGTTGAGTACGATGTATAGGCATGGTGACGAGTATCTATACGTTGGTGTCAAGCATGCCCGTGAGTCTTATACTATGATTAATATGACTCCATTTCGTATTGTTCATTCTTTATATGATAATTTCTATTGAGGAATATGACTTGTGGAAGTATTAACATGGTAGAGAGTTGGCTCAAGTTGAGAATTTAATTGTTGAACATGGTAGAGCGTTGGCTCAAGTCGAGAATTGAATTGTTGAACATTGTAGAGCATCGTCTCAAGTTGAGAATTGAATTGTTGAATGTTGTAGAGCATTGGCTCAAGTTAAGAATAGAATTGTTGAACATTATAGAGCATTGGCTCAAGTTGTGAAGTAAATGTGAAAGAAGAAAGGAGAGAGAGAATCATGATATTGTCTCCCTTGCCGGGACGTTATTGTTTTGATATTGTTTCCCTTGCCGGGATTTGATTGTTGTACTATTGTTTTCTTGCCGGGATTTTATTGTGATTTCATTTATTTCCTTGCCCTTATTTCTTGTGATTGTTGTTTGGGTGAGGAAGAGTGTTAAAGCACGAAGGGTGATGCCGTGTATGATTTTGTGAGGAAGAGTGTAAAGCACGAAGGGTGATTGCCGTGCCGCACGATGTACAATTCTGTGCCGATTATAATGATTTTATAGTGAGGATGAGAGTAAAAGCACGAAGGGTGATGCCGTGCAGTTTATATTGATTCTTATGGTGAGGACGAGAGTAAAAAGCACGAAGGGTGATGCCATGCACTTGTCCTTGATTTTCCTGATTCTTGCTGATAATTGAGTTATGTTGTCCTTACATTTATTTACTGATTTTCTGTTGTTACTTGATTTTATTTCGATGTTATATTTTCCCTTACCTTATTTGCCTTGTGATTGTTACTTGGGTGAGGAAGAGTGTAAAGCACAAAGGGTGATGCCGTGTATTGTTTTGGTGAGGGGGTGTTAAAGCACGAAGGGTAATGCCGTAAATTGTTTTGGTGAGAGAGTGTTAAAGTACGAAGGGTGATGTCGTGCACTTGTCCTTGATTTCCTGATTTTTATTGATAACTGAGTTACGGTTTCTCTACATTTAATTGATGGGTTCCTGTTGATATTTGTTGTACCCCACAGCATGATTCCCCCTTCCTATTTTCAATTGAACTGTGATGATCCTCATATTTATTTGTTGTTCTTCTATTATTATTCGATGTCCCCGCAGCATGTTACCCCCTCCCATGCTTAACTGTACGTTACTGTTCTTCTTTTCCGCTGTATATGATTTAACTGCACAGGTTTATTTGGTGGTCTGGTCTTAGCCTCGTCACTACTTCGCCGAGGTTAGGCTAGGCACTTACCAGCACATGGGGTCGGTTGTGCTGATGCTACACTCTGCACTCTTTTGTGCAGATCCCAGTGCTATAGACTTCGGACCGCAGTGAGATTGTTGTTTGTTGTTCATCAGGCGACCCGAGGTAGTCCTGCAGGCGTCCGCAGGCCTTGGCGTCTCCTTCTATCTACTATTCCTGTTTCTTTCATGTATTTCCAGAGACATTGTTGTATTTATTTCTTTCAGACCTTTATTTATAGTACTCCTAGACAGTCTGTGAAGTTGTGACACCAGTCTTGGGTAGATTTGTTATGGATTGGTATTAGCAGTATTATTAAAACTTTAAAATGCAGCCTTCCGCTTATTCAATTCTGTTGTTATCTAATTGTTGGCTCTTAACTGTTATCGGATTAAAAATGGAAACAAGGTAAATAGCTCAGTTGGTTGGCTTGCCTAGCTTCCACTAGTAGGCGCCATCACGACTACCGAGGGTGAAAAATTCGGGCCGTGACAGTCTATCTCGCCATTTTTGCCGGTCACCGTTCACTCAGATAGCCAAGCAGCTATTCATATCGCCAAAAATCCAGTCTTTCACGAACGCACCAAACATGTCGAACTGGATTGTCATTTTATGCTCCAACAGTTCTTGGCCGGTTTAATCTCTCTCACGTTCGTTCCCTCGACCTCTCAACTAGCCGACGTTTTCACAAAGGCACTCCCAGGATCTCTTCATCACTCCCTTCTTCGCAAGTTGGGAGTGTGTTCCCACCCTTCCAACTTGAGGAG